CCAGGAGCTGCTTTTACAGCTGAAGGGATCCCAAGCTCTCCCTGATGTCCAGATTTTCCATGAACCACCGGAGAGATTAGGAGGAAGAACCTCTGACAAGGAAGATGTCCCTGGGTTCTTGGCAGGGTCAGGCTGGTGGCTGTGCCTGGCAGAAGGTGGCAGAAAGTCAGTCAGTGTCACCTCTGCCTTGGTGAGGGGCTCCAGGGCCTGAGGAAGTGTCTGTGCCCTCACAGGTGACAAGAGAGGAAGGGGACAGCCAGGTCCTGGGGGCTGGTGGCATCACCCTGGTCCCACACTGCACCTCACTGAGAATTTCCAGCCTCTCCAACTTCCACTCATGCCATTCCAACTTTGTTTAAATGCAACAGGTAGCTGGAATGACTAATGGCTGCTGGAGTGCTGAGAGAGCCATCAACCATGTTGTGTTTTCTCTGTGGGGAGTGGGTGGAAGGAAAGCTAAATTACATCTCGGGATATTAAATATAACTCTGCACATTAAACTCGGAGTTATCCATGAATCTCTTTAATGACAGCACAAGCTACTTCACAGCAGTAAAAGTCAATGTTGTCACAATTAGACCACTATTGTCTTGCAGTTAATAGACTGCTCTAATCATGACTTTGTCCTATTATTAATCGCTTTTGGGTTGGACTTTTGCTAATTATCCCCTTTGGTAACTCAGTTTAGGCATTAGGAAGTCAGCAGGGACATCAAGCTGAAAGGCAGTTGGACCATATCTCTTCATTAGCTCCCATCCAGGATGAAACAAAAGGGGGTTGTGCTGAGGAGCTGCTCTCTGATCCACGGACACCGTGGTGGGAAGGGTTGGGTTAACCAAGGAGTGTTTGCCCTTTCCTCAGTTTGCTTTTAGCTTCACAGTTTTAAACTGTAAACCACTGTTCCTTTGTCCTGCCCTGGGCTGTTTGTCTTTGATTTAAAGGCAGTAGGAAGTAGTGACCTTGGTAATGTTGCAGGTTTGAACTTTTTGGTGTGGTTCAGTAGCAAGGGGTTTGGGTGTTACAAAATCAGTAAAAACACAAACCAAAAAGTCAAGTCAAAGGAGAAATGGGATTCGTTTTGGGTGACATTGAGGGAATCCTGTCTTGTTTGTGCTCTTGGTGTCCCCATTGCTGTCAGCTTCAGGACTTTCCTGTGGTGTTTTGGTAACAACTGGGATATAAAATAGGTATATAATAAATGCACAAGCTCGATGGCTTATCCTAAACATATCAGCTCAAGCAGATAGATCACAGACTCACAGAATCATGGAATATTGAGGGGTTGGAATGAACCTTAAAGATCATCTGGTCCCAAATCCCTGCCATGGGTAGGGACACCTCCCACTAGACCAGGTTGCTCAAAGTCTTGGCCTGGCTTTGAGCACTTCCAGGGGTGGATCCTGTCAGTGTCCATGTCCATCCCTGTTCCTCACTGCTCAGGAGGGAGCTCTGTCACTGCTGCCCTGCAGCCAAAAGCGTTTTCCAGCCGAAGGTTCCTGGGGGAAGCAGCACTAGCTCCCAGAGGCATTCAGGCTGGAAAACAGCCGTGTTAATTTGTGTTTGTAACCTTCTTCTTTTAAGCTTTATCTTTTCAATTACAAGCTGTAATAAGACCAATTTTCCAGTTTCCCCTGTGTCTCCCAAGGGAACTGGGTGAGGATGAGGGAGCAGCACTGAGTTCCACGGGACTGGGGTGAGGAAGGGCTGGAGTGCTCTGCACTTGTACCACAGCACCTACCTGATAACAAAGTGGCAAATCACTGTGAATTTTTAAGAGGCAAACAGAACAAAACCATAATTCTTGTTGTGTTTTTCCCCGGGTGGGACATTGCTCAGAATGATGATGTGAGTCTCCCTTGTGAGCAGTTGGGATCTGAGCTGTTCCTGCATTAGACAGAGCCCTTCCTCACTGCTGGATGCAGGCACATCCCTCTTTTCCTTCTCTTCCCCAAACCTTGGATCCAAACCTTGAAAAAGGAGGATAATATCAAGCAAGGAGCTCATTCTTCCCCTGGGCTGAGGTGTCCTTTTGGGGGAACTGGCCTTACCTCCACCTGTGCCTGGAAAACCAAAGCAGCCTCTGGCCCTGGGACATTTTCTGTTAGGTGAGGAATTATCTTGTTTTTACAGTTTCTTGTAAGTTAAAGGACATTTAAAGTGTAGCATTTTCAATACAAGGTATTTTTTAGAAAGTAACAGGTCTTAGAAATTTTCAAATTCATAAGAGAAAGCTCATTAAATCAATGAAGGTCAACTCTGTCCAATTGATATTTAAGTTTAATAAGTCACAAAAAATCTTGGAGAATTCAGTGTCATCTTCAAACAACCCAATATTCTAAGCAGGCAGATGCTTAAAAACTTTCTGTAAAATCCTGATCCCTTCCACTCGTGCTCTGTGTCAGCTGTCAGAGGAAGGAGTAGGAGGTCATGCATAAAAGTATCTGTGAATCCTGTCAAATACGTTATGAATGCCAGCCCTGCAAGGAGTGACAGGAACCAGGATCTTTCTCAAGCTGGCAACAGGTTTTCTGAAAGGATAATTGATTATTTCTTATGGTTCCCATTAATGAGCCTGGTGTGCTGGCAGAGACATGCAGCCTATAAAACTCCTTGGAATGGGTGGAAATATCTTTAAAAAAATCTTCCCTGTCACGCAGCAATTCCCAGCAGTGAGAGATTCTGCATTGCAATGATTTCCTTTGTACCAACAAAGAGGTATTTGCAAAAAGTCCAGGTTCTTGAGTTTTCTTATGAATGTTTGACACTGAGTTTCCTGGGCACAATTCCAAGATTTAGCTCAAAGGATAGCAAAGTGGAACCTCTGTGCTCTCAGCTTTGGTGAGAATACATTTAGGCAAATCTCTGAGGAAGCTCTGCTGCTGGTACAACCTTATTTATTATTGAGTAAGATAGGACCTGTTTATTCACCCCAGCAGCGATCTGTGTTTCCACCTCGGAGCTACAACAGAAAATAAATGACCTGTACAGGAGGCTGGGAAGGGAAAGAGAAGTTGCAAAAACCTCTGGGTGATGTTTATCCTTCCCATCCCATCCCTTCGAGTCAAAAACCCACAGGCAGCCAGGGAGCTTTGCCTGGAGCTCCTGCTGGATTTGCTGGGCTCAGTAATTTTGTGGAAAAACAAAATCCTCCAGGATATCAGGAACAACAGATGGCTCCCAGGCACTGTGCAGGGCTGGCTTCTTCGGGTGTGGATGTCACATTTTGTGTCTGGTGCTGCCTGGAGATTTCACTTATCCCAAATTTGCAGTGGCTGCTGCACTCCCTGAGAGACCTGAGCAAAATTTGATGGTACAAATGTGCTCCTGAACACTTTGCTGTCATGGTTCACCAGTGGTGGGTGGGGGGTTTGTTGTTTTGTTGTGATTGTGGTTTGGGTTTTTTTCCCCATAATTTTAAAATGCAGCTATTTATTCAATATTAAAAACCAAGTCTTTCCTCATATTTCACAGATTTTTCTCAGCCTTAGCATCAAGGCAAGGTTAGATGGGGGTCTGGGCAACTTGGTCTGGTGGAAGGTGTCACTGCCCATGGCAGGGGGTGGAATGAGGTGATTTACAAGGTTCCTTCCAACCCAAACCATCCTGTGATTCTATGATTAAATGTCTTATTACAGCTTTACAAAACTAAACTGCATGATCAAAGGGAACAGGAGGTGTTTTATGGCTCCTGTTTAAGGTAAAGCACATCAGGATTCACACTCAGAGCAGCTGTGATGCAGCCCAGAGGGGAGAAATGCTCAGGGCACCCATCCCATTCCTTGGGGCTCAGGTAGGGAATTCAAACTCACACAAAACATTTATGGTCCAGGAATAGACATAAATAGGATGAGTAAGAGGTAATGCTTGTTCCATGTAAACTTTTGCAGGTTTTGGTGGTTTTTTTGGTTGTCTTTCTGTCCTGATTTGTACTTGGGTAGTTTAAGGAGTGTGGCTTTACTGGGTACTACAAATAACACAACCATCAAGAAATCGTCCACGAGCTCAAAGCAATCCATGATGGAATTCTCCACAATCCTGAAGCTGCAGACTTGCCTCCAGAACAAATCCTGCCTCCACCATCAGGGACTGGTATTTCTTGGAATCCTGAGCTCTCAAAGTTTTGGTCTGGATGAGGATCTGGGAATTAATACACTGTAGGAAAGGCAGCAAAAATAGCCAATGTTTTCTCTTTGTGCAGTGCTGTGAATCATTTCACAGCCTAGATGATGTGTGTACATATATATTTTTATATACACACACACATATATATATATATATCTGAATTTTCTATTTTTCCTGATTCGTCAGCCACACGTATGGAAGCTCTTTCCAGAAAAAGACTGAAATTCAGCACACATGAGGTAAAAGTGTCTCAGAGCATCAGAGCACACGCAGCTCCTGCGCTGTTCAGAGTGAGGGAGGCTGTGTGGCGCTTTCTGTACAAACTCCTGCTATGTTTGGTTTCTCTGCATCAGCAGCTTGTGATTATTTTTTCCTTGGTGTTGGTATTTATTTTATATTCCCTACGGGTACATCTGGACAAGATGTGGGTGCTGATAGTACAATAACAATCCACTTCCAGGACGCTGGTAGATGGATTTTTTCATTCCTGTGCCTGAGCAGCTGTGACACGAAGCAAAAAGGCACACAGCACCGAGTTTGTTTCTATCATGGAATTGCACAGATCTTCTTGATTTCAGACTCAGCAGTTTGCTGATGCTGCAGAACAAACCAAGGATGGTATTTTATAGCCAGTTTAAGCATCAGGGTGTAAAACTTCACAGCTCTGTCCATATGGAGACACCCATTTTCTCCCCAGGTGTGTCTTGAGCCTGTCAGGGGGTGCTCACTTGGGCTTGGCTCTAAGCTAAGAGCTCTCCATTAGTTGTGATTTAAGTCAGTTTTGGACCATTTCTTCCTTTTACTTATGATCCTCTCACCATCTGTCTCTTCTTTTCTTCTTTCCCATCCCTCCCTGTCGCTGTCCTTGTCTCCCTCAGAGCTCTCCGTCAGCCTCCTTGCAGTGATAGTCATTGTGTGTGGCCTGGCCCTGGTGGCAGTGTTTGTGTTTCTCTTTTGGAAGCTGTGCTGGGTTCCCTGGAGGAACAAGGCCCTTTCCTCCCAGCTGGCCGTGCTGCGCAGCGAGGCAGGCCACAAGGACAGCATGGCAGACAAGCTCAAGGACACGGGGGCCATCAGCTTCCTGGAGGCGGCCGTCAAGATCAGCCACACCTCCCCGGACATCCCTGCAGAGGTCCAGATGTCCATGAAGGATCACATCATGAGGCGCACGCGGATCCAGAGGCAAACCACGGAGCCAGCCTCTTCTACCAGGTGAGGGATGGGGTGGGATGGGATCCATGGGGTGGGATTGGATCCATGGATGATGGATGGATAAATGATGGATGGATGGGATGGGATAGGATGGATCGATGGATGGCATGGGATAGGATGGGATCCATGGGGTGGCATGGGATAGGATGGGATGGATGGATGGATGGATGGATGGATGGATGGATGGATGGGTGGATGGATAGATGGATGGATGGATGGATGGATGGATGGATGGATGGATGGATGGATGGATGGATGGATGGATGGATGGATGGATGGATGGATGGATGGATGGATGGATGGATGGATGGATGGATGGATGGATGGATGGATGGATGGATGGATGGATGGATGGATGGATGGATGGATGGATGGATGGATGGATGGATGGATGGATGGATGGATGGATGGATGGATGGAGGGATGGATGGATGGATGGATGGATGGATGGATGGATGAGATGGGATGGGATTCATGGGATGGATGGATGGGATGGATGGATGGATGGATGGATAGACGGGATGAGATATGGGTACTGACAGCCTGGTCAGAGAGAGAAACAGATAAACTTTCAGACGGAATGAGATATGGATACTGACGGCCTGGTCAGAGAGAGAAACAGATAAACTTTCCCAGGAATTGTTCTAGGCAGTCTTGAGAAGGCTGAGAGAAAGAATTAAAACAACCTTGCAGCTGGTGTTTTGAGCAGTTGTTTTCTCATAAGGCCTTTACCAAAGGGTGTTTCCCGAATTAGCCAGTCATGTGAGATGTGTTGATTAAATGACCAAACAGGTCCACCTGTGTTGGAACAGTGTATAAAAAGGAGTGGGTTTATAATAAAATTATTATCAGCCTCCTAAAGAGACCTGGAGTGTGTCACTCATTCATCCATTCCTGGCTCAATGGTGATGATGGGATGGTGTTGGATTAAGCCCTTTTCTGACCCAGAGATGGGGTAACTGAGAGGTGTTTTAAAAACTTTTGTTCTATTTTCAGTCTCCTGCGAAGAGTGAGACAATACAGGTGTTATAACTTTTAAAAATTCTCTACAAATCCATTTCCCCCAGATGGCATGGTGTGGCATAGGCTGCTCAGCCTGGAGGAGCCTGAGGCTGGAGTTGCTCAGGGGTTGCAGCTCCTCCTGAGGGGCAGCTCTGATCTCTGCTCTCTGTGATAGTGACAGCACCCAGGGAATGGCTGGAGATGGGTCAGAGGAGGTTTAGGTTGGGGGTAAGGGAAAGGTTCTTCCCTCAGAGGGTGCTGGGCACTGCCCAGGCTCCCCAGGGAATGGGCACGGCCCAAGGCTGCCAGAGCTCCAGGAGAGTTTGGACAGTGCTCTCAGGGATGCACAGGGGCATTGTTGGGGTGTCTGTGCAGGGATCAGAGTTGGACTGGATGATCCCTGTGGGTCCCCTCCAGCTCAGGATATTCCATGATTCTGCTGGGAGGGGCTGAGGTGCTCAGCAGCGACACTGCTCTGTGAGCAGCTGGAGAGATGGGAGGATTGTTGGATGGAGCCAGAGGTTCAGATAGCATCAGGGGGACGAAAGAGAGCACCTACACAGCAGATTACTGTCCAAAGCTTGGCCATTAACCAATGAATGTATTAAGACTGTGGCTCTTTTAAAAATCAGGGATTCGAGCCCCGTTCCTGCAACTTGACCTCATTGTGTCAAGTCACCCGCATGCTTTGGCCACTTTAATTTTGTACCAACATGAGAGGCAGGCTGAAGTATCAATGATGTACCCTGTCAGACAGAATTAGACCTTTTGGCTCTCTCTCTCTCTTGTGGCTCCTGGCAGAAACAATTAAATCAGCACAATTGATGGATCGCTCGCTGCACAAGCCCTGAACCAGCTGTGCTTGGTGCTTGTGCTCAGATGGGGACAGAGACATCAACATCATCCTCAGGAAGTCAGGGAAAGGCTGTGTGAACCTTGAGACTCTCTCAGCTTGGACATTGAGGAGAGATTTAGATTAGATGTTAGAAAGGGGTTCTTTACTCAGCGTGGGGTGAGGCCCTGGCACAGAGTGCCCAGAGAAGCTGTGGCTGCCCCATCCCTGGAAATGTCCCGAGGCCAGGTTGGAGCAACCTGGGATAGTGGGAGGTGCCCCTGCCCATGGCAGGGGGGGGGATGAGGGGAACTTTGAGGCTCCTTTCCAACACAAACCATTCTGTGAAATGCAGCATCTCTCCTTGACACAGAAGGAGGTGAAACAGGGACAGGAAAGAGGGATCACAGGGTCCTGGCTGCGCCCCAGCACTTCTGTTTGCCTCGCTGGCCATGCCTGGGATGTGCGCAGGAGTGTGACAGGGAAATCAGGCACTGCTCAGAAAATTGGCTGCACTTTTGCAGGATTAGTGAGGCACTGATGGCAGCCCCCTGTTTGAAGGAGCTGAGTTAGATCAGCACGGTGCCACCCGCATTTGTGAGCCACACTCTTTTATTTATCCACACTGCTTTTTGGGCAGCTGATTCCCTCTCTGCATGCACACTCTCCTTCTGCTTTTATTACACCTTTCCAACAGAGGAGAAAAAAACCCTCAGCCAGTCTGAATTAGGACAAACAAAGTGGGACTTAGCTGTACGTGGGCAGGTTTCAAACACACTTTCTCCTTGGCAGGTTTCTCTGATTCACAGCCCAGCCTAACCCTCTCCAAAATACCTCTGAGGAGCCTGCCAAGGTCTCCAAGCACCACGTATCACTGAAGGCTAATGCTCTGGCTGTAGAGTTTTTAGTTTGGTTAAATAACTCTATATACTGCTCTTGTAAACACCAGATAATCTGAAATAATGCCCTCAGTCCACAGAAAGCTTTTATGCTTTGTTCAGATAAAGCTTTGCTTACATACAGCTTGTGCTGGAGGAGAGCTCAAGGCAAGAGACTCTTCCTGACGAGGCTGTGCCTCCCTCCCTGTCAACAATTATCTATCAGTGTCTGATGAGTCTGTTGGAAAAGTCTGGAAGCAGCAATACCCAGCAAAGCCAGACTGGACAGGGCTTGAAGCAAACTGGTCTAGGGGAAGGTGTCCCTGCCTGTGGCAGGGGATGCAATGAGATGAGCTTTAAAACATCCTGAACCCAAATCCTTCTGTAGTTCTATGAAGAAAGCCTCACTTTCTGAACTGGTTGTGGTTCTCTCACCAAAAGAAAAAAGCCAAAAAAAGTGGGTTTTTTTGTCTGGGAGAGCTTAGTGCCAGTATCTTGGAAGTGTAAGGACTGAGGTGGGGAAAGTCTCCACCTGTCTGTGGTTTGGGTAAGGACCTTTTGGGATCCATCTGTTCAGCTATGGGCTGTGACTCGGGCCACAGCTGAGAAAACACAGCTTCTGGCAAATGCTCTGGAATTTAAGAAATTTGCTGGATTGGTTCCTTGCAGGTTTTTTGAGGTGTTCCCCTCTGTTCACCATAACACACCTGGTTTCAGTGCAGAGCTCAGGAGCACCTATAGAACTCATTCTGTGCTGTTTTTTGAGTCCAGGGGCGAAAACAGGACATGAAAGCCATGTCCTTGGAAACCCACCCAGCTGTTGGTGTCTCCCTCCTGCAGGCACATCTCCTTCAAGAGGCACCTGCCCCGGCAGATGCACGTGTCCAGCATGGACTACGGGCTGGAGCCGCCGGCCGTGGCCGAGCAGCCCACCAGCATCGGCCGCATCAAGCCCGAGCTCTACAAACAAAAGACCGTGGACACTGAGGACCCCAAGAAAGAGGCAGAGAAAACCTGTGGGAAAATCAACTTCACTCTCAAGTACGACTACGAGAACGAGACGCTGACTGTCCGAATTCTCAGGGCTTTTGACTTGCCAGCCAAAGACTTCTGCGGCAGCTCGGATCCCTACGTGAAGATCTACCTCCTGCCCGACCGCAAGCGCAAGTTCCAGACGCGGGTGCACAGGAAGACCCTGAACCCCACCTTCGACGAGTCCTTCCACTTCCCCGTGCCCCACGAGGAGCTGGCGAGCAGGAAGCTCCACCTGAGCGTCTTTGACTTTGACAGGTTCTCCAGGCACGACATGATTGGAGAAGTTATCTTGGAGAACCTGTTCGAGGACTCGGACCTCTCCCGGGAGACTTCCATCTGGAGGGACATTCAGTACGCCACCACGGTGAGTAGCTGCTGGGAAGGGTGGGGCTTCTCCACAGGGGTAAATCCTTCATGGATCCCAGCTGATGGCTTCCTCACCTCCTGTTAGCCCAGGGAACAGCAGCCATGGCCTGGCTCTCTGCCATGTGTACATGGGATGCCTTGGAGTGGCTACCTAGGACAGAGGCTAGACAGATTAAAGAGAATAAAGTGGGTGTTTATTAAAGGCCTTCAATATATCTATTGAATTCAGTATATCTATTGACATCTGTATCTATTTGACTGCCCACCTTGGGCAGTCAAAAGCCTGGCAGAGACTACACACAAGGTAGACAATGGTCACGAGTTTCTAAGACAGATAAAAGTTTGGTCTGTTTGCATGTCAGGGGTTAATTGTCCAATTATACCATCAGGTAACTAAGTCATATTCCCCTGGTTTGCTTCTGCCCCCCGATTCACTTTTGTTTATAATTTTGGGGCCTGAGGCAGGGGGTGACCTTGGTTGTCAGGCCTGGAAGGATTATTTTTTCTGAAAAAAATGTGAAGAAAGCTTACTAACACTCTATATGGAGCTCAGAGTTCTACACTAATGCAGTACAGGATCTGAAAAATATAAAAGCTAAAAACTTGAGGCACCACATGATCTCAGTAAGGAAGAGCTCTGCAGGGCCAATACCAGCCCCTTGGTGCTGAGAGGTGCTGGATGTGCTGCTGGCAGCTCTTCCAGAGCTGGATTTGGGTCTTTTAATAGTTCTATTGAATTCCCTCTGGAAAAGAAACCAAGCCTCAGAGAGGAAAAGTCCCAGCCCTTTCCATGTCACAGGGAGTTGGCAGGAGAAGCCAAGTGCTCACATTGATCACTGAGTGCAGAGCAGTGACATTAACCTCTCCATAATAGCTGTCTGCTCCTCCACTGCCCTCCCAGGAGGATCTGGCTGGTCCTCAGGGCGAATGAATGATTGAACTGCTCTGCAGCTGGACACTAAATCAGCCATTGTCATTGTCATTTCACATTGTTATTCCTGAGACTGAAAGATGAGACATCCCCACCCCTGTGGCTGGAAGCGTGGGCCCTGTCACATCATTCCTGGTGACTGGCAGAATGCCACAACTTGCAAAAATCTGTCCTGCAGCTTCCCTCATAGCTCATCTCATACCTTTGCTCCCCTGCTTTCTGTGCTGAGGAGGGAACTGTCAAACACAAATATTTACTGCGGCCAGCACTGCCACAAGATATTTGCTTTGTAACTCTGGTGCTTTTTTTCTCAGCACCGTGTTCCCCACCAGCTGAACCTCTTGGTGATTTCCACCAGTGCTCATTCTCCTGCTGCAGGGTGTCCAGAACTTTCTGACAGTTCCGTGAAGCCCAGCAGGCGTGCACAGCCCCGTGTCCTGTGCTGCTGTGCCCAACAGGATCCCAGGGCACTTGGGGGACACACAGCACATCGCCCTGGAAGGTGGCTCAGGGGCTGGAGCTGTCCTGGGAGGGCACGGAGAGCTTTGGCCCTGCCAGCCTGAGGACACAGGGGTGGAGGTGGTGCCTGCCAGGCACCCTGGGGCAGCACTGGGAGCGTGCTGGGAGCTGCTGCTGTGCTGCCTTTTGAGCATCTTGCCTGGGAGGGGTGTGGGAAGGAGGCACAGGATCAACCATGAGGAAAGCAACAGTTGGAGCTAGCAGGGTGCTCACAGCTCTTGGCTTCCAACCTGCAAACAGCCACGGCTGTTGTGATTGATGGGTGGTAATGAAAGCAGAAATGCTGGCAGAGAGGCAAGCAGGCACCAGGCACATCCTTCACCCAGAGAGGGGCTGCTGGAAGGGGAGCAAAATGCACCTGGTGTGCTGATGCCTCCTGCAGGAACCTGCCTGTTGGTTCTGCAAGCAACAATGGATGTTTTCCTGGCTAAATAATCTCATTTAATGGGGGAAAACTCCACAAAAGCAGGTGGAGATACACCAGCAGAAGGGTTGTTAAAGGCAGAGCCTCCAGAGAAGGTGTGAGGGGAGCAGAGCCAACCCCATGCCCAAGGTGTGTAGAGCAGGAGCCCGGCAGAGCTGCAACAGACACATCCAGCACCACGTTTGGCTCCATCCCCTCATCCTGTCCGTGCCATTCTTAAGGAATGTGCTGCTCCTGGAACATCTCAGCCAGCTGTAGCACACCCAAGGACATTTCTGTTTAATCAAAATTGAGAAGGGTAAATACAGTTTGCATAAAACCCCAAGAAAGCTCTGGGTGCCTAATAAAGCATGAGATCAATGGTGTGGGTAAGAGGGTAGGAACACACTTAAGAACTGATCTGCTCAAGTAGCCAGCACTCAGCTACTTAATTAATGACTGTACAGCTTGTGAATCAGGGAAACATCTTTGGTTTCAAGTCTATTGATTCAGAGCTTCCATTATTTCCTAAAAGGTACTGATATGAATTTTGGAAAAGTCCCAATGTCTATAATCTGCAAGAAAATAATGTACCCACAGGACACGCTTTGCTCTCTTGTATTTATGGTTGCAAAGAAAAATCTCTTGACCTGATACAATGAGGTCAAAGAATAAATTATGTTCATTTTATACCCTGAACGGATCCTCTCAGTGCAAGGAGAGGAATAGAAGATGAGATAGTGTCCAGAGGGTGCTCTCACCATCTCACACAGGGCTGCTCTCTTCTGACATCTTGTCCAAGGTCTCCTGCCCTCGTCCCTCCCACACCAACTGAGAACACAGAATGCATGAAAGAACAGACCCAATCAAAATTTTATGTAATATTCATTAGTATTCTTCACATCTAAGTGGAATAAAGATTTAATCTTTGCCTTACCTGAGAATGAGCAGGAAATAATTTGGCAAAAACCTCATCCATCAACAAGATCTATTCCCCTAACACTTAGCAAAGCTTTAAGTGCATTTACTTGTCTTTCTGGTTCCATCACTCTACTCCTAACAGCCACAATTTCTCTTCAGCAGATCATTATATCACATTTAAAGGAATCAAACACACTGTGTCCCAAAATAAATGGGTTGTTTGCTCTACAGATGTGGGATCTGTATGTAGAAAATAAGATTTTTTTTAAAAATCCATTTTTAGAAGGTGTTTGGAAATCTTTCTGCTGACTTTGGGTGATGATGCTTTCTAATTTAAATCAGACATTTGATTTGTTTATTTTTCCCTGACTTCCCATGGGCAAGGCCATGATGGAAAGGGCTTTTAGGAGGTGTAGTCGATGAAGCTGCAGGTACAAGAAGTGCTAAGAGCCATAGATAAAAGTTATTTGATGGGGCACTAAAAGAGTAAATTGTGTTGTCTTCTGTGTAATCCTAAAGTACCAAACATTTCTGAGTGCCATCTGCTGGTTAATTCTCCATTTATGCTCACAAACACACAGCCCCACGCTGTGCCAGCTCCTTGAGGGCATCTCAAAGGGCTTGGTGGTCCAAATGTAGAATTGTCACAAAATAAAAACTCAACAGAACCTTCTTGCTTGCCTTCTGTCTTAAAGTTTTACCCCCCAGTTGGTAAGTGCCCAAAAACTCACACTCACCTTCAGAGAAAACCACTGTGTTACTCAAAGACATTTTCATTTTATGCAGAAATGTTGGGCACTGTCAGTCACAAACCTTCATTACTGAATTCATCCCTGCCCACGGCAGGGGGTTGAAACTAGAATATATTCAAGGTCTCTTCCAACCCAAACAGTCTGTGATGTTACGAACTGATGGCACTGGCTGTCACAGGAAGTTTCTGAGGAGATTTCTGCAGTGCACAACTGGAGAACACGGCACCACTGCATGTCAGGAGCTCATCTTTCTGTCACCTCACTGTGTTTGTCACACTCCTGGAGGAACCAGGCACCGGAGACATGTACAGTACATTCAAACAAGACTTGATACTAATTTGATTTCCTCACTGCATTGATTTGGTGTGAGATATCCCATCTCCTCTGTGTGAGCCGTGGAGCAGGACTGCTGTGCATTGGCTGTGCATAGCTGGGAGGTTGAATTAGGAAGCACAGACTCCACTGAGCCAGAGGAAGATTGTCCTTAACTAAGATGTGAAGGTGTAACCTATTTTTCCTGTTCTCTGTATTCATTTTTAGTCAAATTGTGTTGGGGTGCACTCAAATCAAGTAAAATACCCTTTGCTACAAATGGCAGAGCAGAGGAAATGCTGGGGTGGAGGAGGAGGCACCTGGCTGGTTCTGCACGTTTCCAATAAAATCTGTTCTCTGCTTTATTGAAGGAAAGCGTGGACCTGGGCGAGATCATGTTTTCCCTTTGTTATTTGCCAACTGCAGGTCGCCTCACCTTAACAGTCATTAAATGCAGGAATCTCAAAGCTATGGACATCACTGGTTACTCAGGTGGGTGTTTGGTGGCTGAGGAGGACCCCCCTGCAGCCACATCTACTCCTCTTCCCTCGCTGTACCCTCAGTAGATGGTGGGTGAACCATCCCAGGAATACCTGAGAAAGCTTTGTCTGTGTTTCAAGTGCAAACACAATTGTTAAAGTAGGCAATTTGTCACTCGTTCCCCATCCCACTGGAGGGTTTGCAGGGTCAGAGCTCTGATCCATCTCTTGGCCTGGACACTTAGATCTCTTGGAACCCTTTACAGCCAGAATCAACTCTTTCACCCCAAGACCAGGAAAGGATCATGACCCACCTGGATAAATCCCACTGGAATGTGCACTCCCCTGTGCAGTGTCCAGTAGTCAAACCTGAGGAGCACAGCCACCCAAAGACTGTTTGCATTTGCAGTTTCAAAGAGCTGACTTGCAAATTTAGCATGCACAAATTCTGGTTTTCATCATAAAATCCAATTTCTTTTCCAGACACCAACTTCAGAGTATTTGAATTTCATTGTACAAAAAGCAGTAACAACAGAGACCTTTGCAGAAAATGTTTCTGCTCAGCTGGAGTTTAATGCCATATGAAATGTCTGAGAATTGAGACTTCAGGTGAAGCCAGCTCAGCCTTTCAGCAATAATAATAATGCAGTGCTGGTTCTCTAAGTGCTGGTACCTGAAGTTCAGGTCACCACCCACACCAGTATGAGAAATGGAGGATTTTACTGGTCTGCAAATAAACTTTTTTCTAAAAGTCCATTTGAAGAGCACCTCTGGCTCATGGGAACTCACAGCCCATCCTCTGATAAAGCTGTTTCTATATTGCAAAAGTAACAAAATACATTTTCATCAACAAAAGGTCTTCTCTCTCTTCCTCCCTAGATCCATATGTCAAAGTGTCTTTGCTCTGTGACGGGCGAAGACTGAAAAAGAAGAAAACCACCATAAAGAAAAACACACTTAATCCCACCTACAATGAAGCAATAATCTTTGACATTCCCCCCGAGAACATGGATCAAGTCAGCCTCCTTATCTCTGTCATGGATTATGATCGGTAGGTGGGAGGCTCTGGAGAGCTGGAGGGGAGAGCATCCCATTGGGTGCAGATTTTCCAGCTCAAATGCAATTTTCCACAGTGTTTTCCACAGCCTCGATGGCAGAGCTCAGCGGTATCCACCTGTCTCTGCTGATATATTGCTACAGTGACATTGATATTTATGGTTATGGAAAAATAACGAGTTTGGCAAGGCTGGTCCTTGCTTTATGGCATTTCCTTGAGCAAGTGCCATTTCCCCTTCGTTATTTATTGTCCTGCAACCCATTTTAGAAAGCAAATAATGTCAGCCCGAGCAGCACTGGTTGTATGAATTATGAATTACTGAAGCTGGGGTTATTCTTGCTGTGGAGCACTGCTCACACCTCTGTGTCTGGGCTGACCTGCAGAAATAATTTAAAAGCTGCTGTAATTGCCTGTGGTGATGGCAGGGCTGGGGCACACACCACAGCCCAGGCTCACCAACAGCAGGGTCCAGGCTTTGCCTGGCCAGGTGTGGGCAGCCGGAGGGATGGAGGGATGGATGGATGGATGGAGGGAGGGAGGGATGGATGGAGGGATGGATGGGGGATGGATGGAGGGAGGGAGGAATGGATGGATGGGTGGATGGATGGATGGCTGGGGGATGGATGGATGGATGGAGGAATGGATGGATGGATGGATGGAGGGAGGGAGGGATGGATGGAGGGATGGATGGGGGATGGATGGAGGGAGGGAGGAATGGATGGATGGGTGGATGGATGGATGGCTGGGGGATGGATGGATGGATGGAGGAATGGATGGATGGATGGATGGAGGGAGGGAGGGATGGATGGAGGGATGGATGGGGGATGGATGGAGGGAGGGAGGAATGGATGGATGGGTGGATGGATGGATGGATGGATGATGGAGGGATGGAGGAATGGATGGATGATGGATGGATGATGGAGGGATGGATGATGCATGGATAGATGGATGGATGGATGATGAATGGATGGATAGAGGGATGGATGGACGGATGGATGGATGATGGATGGATGGATGGATGGATGGATGGGTCCATGGATGATGGCTGGATGATGGATGGATGGAAGAAGCATTTCCTGGCTCTTCCAGCTGATGTGTGCCCAGCCTTTCCAGATGGAAGTGCCAAAAGTGGTTTCCTTGCCTTCCATGTGTTTTTAATCCACAGCAGGATGACTCTGAGGCTTTGGCAATCTCATTATTTCTTCTTGGAGCAACTCGGGGCATTCAGCAATAGGTAGGTGCATCCCTGCATCCATTCATTGGGTGGACAGATGGAAGGATGGATGAATGGAGGGAGGAAGGAAGGAAGGAAGGAAGGAAGGTGATGGTGCTCCTCCTCTGCCGTTCCTCAGGGTGGGCCACAACGAGATCATCGGGGTTTGCCGCGTGGGGGTCAACGCCGAGGGGCTGGGCAGAGACCACTGGAACGAGATGCTGGCCTACCCCCGCAAGCCCATCGCCCACTGGCACCCGCTGGTGGAGGTGAAGAAATCCTTCAAAGAGGTGTGTGGGGTGTCCTTCCCTTCCAGTGCCTGTGCTGGGCGGGACTGGGCTGGCTCCAGGCTTTCAGAGAGCTCCTGCTCTCGCCTGGGATTTTCTGAGCAGAGCTGAGGGAATTTTCTCACCAGAAATGAACTCTAGAAAACAAGCACTTCTGTATTGCCTCAAAATAGCTCCTTGAGCTTGCAAGCAAGACTGAGAAGAACTGTATTTACAGATGTGACTGTTACATTTTGGGTTTTTTATTTTTTTTTTCCTTTTCCTTTTTAAATTAGAAATTGAGAGCAGTAAGGAAAGAGAATGCTGCTCTGATTGCAGAACAAATTGTCCAGGGATATTGCCTATTTCAAGTTTCAATTTTTCATCCTAAAAGATTTTTCTGTTGACTCATCTCAGCCTTTGAGGGAGAATAAATAGAACAAATGTAATTGCTCTAAGCATCTCCAGAGAAAGAGATTGACTTGATGCAGCCCCAGATGATAAAATAGGGCTGAAATGCCTGGGTACCATTTTGACCATCTCTGGCATTTTCTTCCCCCTTGCACTCCAATTTCTCACGCTTCTGTGGAGCTCTTTGCCTTTGCCTGATTTAGGTCATAATTTCTGGAGGACAGAGATGTGGAAAAGGGCACACACGCCTTTGACACTTCAAGTATGAGAACAAAGCACCAGCATTTGAGGCCAGTGATACGATAATAAAGGCAATAAAGCCTCCCACTGTATCTGGGGCTGAGGAGGTATTTTCCCTCAAAGCCACAGAATAAGTACTTAACAAAAAGCATCTCATTTTCCCCTTGAAGCTGAGTGCTGAGCTGTGCTGAAAGGCAGACATTGAGCTTGCTGACACTCCACAGTAGTGAATTAGTGTATAAACCCTGTCTTTCTTTGAAATCTGCTATTTTCTCCGAAAAGAAGGGGTGGGGAGGCTCTGGCACAAGGTGCCCAGAGCAGCTATGGCTGTCCCATCCCTGGGCCAGGCTGGATGGGACTTGGAGCAACCTGGGATAGTGGAAGGTGCCCCTGCCTGTGGCAGGGTGTTGGAACTGGATGATCTTTAAGTTCCTTCCCAACCCAAACCACTGCATGATTAAGAAGTCAGTTTGTGCTCAGTGCCCTCTGTCCCAGCCCAGGGTGGTTACACACAAAGGAAAACCTGGCAGTTGGTAATTTAGCTTAAGACACAGTGGAGGTGGATATATCAGAAAATGGACACCTGAAAATTCACCCTCCCTTGTTTGAGGTGATCTGTGAGCTCACCTTGAATCAGCACAGGGATCAGCTGTGCAGGGCTGGGGTGAGTCAGAGCAGAATTAAACCCTTGTGCAATTTGTGTGCCGTGCCAGCTCAGCCTTTGGGTGTTGAGCAGCACCAGGACTTCATTCCCCTTCCCCTGCTGGCCCTGGGCAGGCTCCGTGTGTCACCTCCCACTGCCACGGGGAGCTGGGGACCAGCAGCCACAAGGTTCCAGCAGAAATGGAATTGATCTCTCATTTAGTCTCTTGGCATCTGTAGCACCTTGCAGTGTGACACAGCTGCCATGGCTGACCCAGGGGCAGGAGTTCCTTCTCCAGGCTCCAATTTTTATGGCTTTACTGCACTATTTTTCAGATGCAGGTGGGGTTTTGAAAGAAAAAACTCCTGTAAAGTTTTTGAAAATCACTAAGAAAAAAGTAAAAAAAAAGGCATTATTGTTATGATGAAACACAAAGAAACCAAGGAAGACATGGAAGATGACTCACCTTCTAAAATATACTTTGAAAACCATGGCTGAGCCCCCAAGACTCTGGAAAAAAACTGAGTGAATCATTTCACCCCTCAATGCACAGGTCAGGAGCTCTGCTTAAAAGGAAAGAAAAAGCCCTCTGATCATCTCTTCTGGTATTTCTGCCACAAACTGGTGCAGAGGGCCAGTAAGCAAATGGTCCTTGTGTTTATTTGCCCTTTTAGGTTTTAGCACTGCTGTCTGCAAATCCCCAGTGCAGCCTAAAAGAAAAACCAAACAGAAAAGGCACAGGCTCCTGGAGAGAAATTAATGGGAAATGGTATTTGTTGGTTACAAGATATTGTATCATCTTTTCCATGTTGTTTTTGGGTATCTTTGAAAAGAAATTTGGGGTTTTGGTTCTGTAATCCCAGTTCTGGGTCTCTGTGCAGCTGCTCCATCCTGCTGCTGGCTGTCTGTCCATCTGTCCTGAGCATGCTGGGTGAGAACTGCTGGCCCTTCATGCCTTCCTCACCTTTGTGGGGGTGAACTCGGGCTGTGCTGGCATCCTGAGCCCTCATTTCCATCTTCCTCTTTGTCTTCTTCATCTTCCCCTTTGTCTTCTTCCACTCCCAGCCATTTGTACCAGGCAGCAGCAAAGGGAGCGTTTGCTTCCCAGCTGATCTCGTGATGGTCTCTGTGTGCTCTGACCATCAGTAACAGCCTCTGGCTCCATCCAAATCTTCCCTGATTGAGTGCTTGACCTCAAACCAAGGCGAGGGAGCTGGGATTGAATTGTCCCTCTGATGTCTAAATGGAGGGATGGTGACTGGAGCTGCTCCAGGCACTGCCATCTGCCCTTGCTGTGATTGGGGTCCCACCCCCCTCCCCACCCCTCAAGGGGGAGGAAAGTGTGGGAATATAGAATTTCTTTGCTAACCAACACCCTGCCTGGTGTGCCTTGGAAAAGGTTTGGCCAGGAGAATGAGCTCCCACCATATTTTGACTACAGCTCAGAGTCACAATTTCTGGTGAATTTACCAGGAAAATGTCACCAGAGCTGTGCTGCTTCAAGAGGATGGCCCAGCTCTGAGCCCTTACCCTGCCACAGCAGGGATGGATGGATGGATGGATGGATGGATGGATGGATGGATGGATGTGTCTGTGGTGTTGGACCAACAGCCTTCTCTTGTGCTAGGCCACGATTCTTTGTCCACCATGAGGACCTGGGCAGCTCCAGCCTGTCCCAGCAGCCACAGTGCTGGGCTAACATGGCCCAGCCTCTCATTTCTGTGCCAACAGCCACTTGGGCCCTTCCTCCACGAGCTGGTGCCGCTCCCTCTTTTCTTTCACTGCTGGAAAAGGCTCCAGTGAAAAGGGAAACACTTTGGATGCACATCATGTCTTTGGTTGCTCCATATTTATCAACAGTGAATAACAAACCATAATGACTGCACTTCTCTAATGACCATCATCATTACAGAGGGAACATGGAGAACATGTGCAAATGAATCATTAATTACAGGCTTTTAAGCGCTATCCTCCTCACACAGATGTTCAGAAGGCGAGTTTCTGAGCAGGAAGGGAGAATCCCTCTTTGTGGGGTTATTCTGACAGTCAGTTCTTCCCCTCAGCACAAGCTGTTCCCAGTGTTCCACCCCGAGACCCCGCTGGCAGCTGATCCCTCCCTGGGTCCTTCAGCCACCCCCACCCCTGTTCCTCCTGCATTCCTCCACCCATCAGCCAGGTTCAGGGGTGTGTGCACAAAGGGAAACAGAAAATTCCAGCTCGTTCCTCCAGGATTTAAAGGGGACTTCTGAAAATGGGGATTTCCCCTGGGATCTGTGAAAGACAAACCCTGGAATTGTGGAGTCGTGTCATCGGCGCGATGAAAAACGGGTCTTTGATGCTGCCAAGTGCCTCTGACATTCAACATTTATTTGTTTAAAACATTGCTCCAGATAAAAACTGGTAACTCTCCTGAGAACCAAGTCATGCCCATAATAAAGAATAATCATTTGTCTTTAAAGATAAGCCCTTCCAGACTTCTGGGCCTGTTTGATTTTGATTGAACTGGTCCCAGTTTCTGACTGTTGGCTACACAATGCATGGCTCACCTTTTCTAATTAAATGAAGGAAAAGTATCTCCAGGTTCTTCTTTGGTTATTTAGACCTATCCTTGGAAGAGTTTTGATCACATTTTTGGAGTAGCAATGCTGTCATTGTCATGCAGACAGCACGAGACAAAGAGCATGGGGAAGGCTCTGCCAAAAGCCCATTTCTGTTCTAATTTCTGCAATCTGTTCACTGGCAATTCTCATGGGGAGGTTGTACCCATATTATCAATTCCTCAGGGATTTTAGACAATTTTTGTGACATGAGAAACGTAGAGGGAAGTGTTTCCTTACCTTAAGGCAGCTGTTTGGCAGGACGAGTTTCTCATCGTCTTCTTTCATTAATTTCTGCTCAGCCCTTCTGAAATACAGGCAGTTCCATGCAAACCATGCAGTGAGTTACTTTGCACTGACTGGTCTCTCTGGGGAAGAAAATTGGCCAAATTTTTGACCACTCCAAACCCATGGAGCATCTGCAAGGGCCTGCTTGCCCTGCTCAGCCTCCCTGTGAGCACCAGGCTGCTCTTGTTCTCTTGCTTTCATTCAAGATGGTTTTGCCAAGGCAAGAGTGAGGTCTGGTTCCCCAAGTGAGTTTTCACCCAGAGAAATGAAATCCATACATGCTTAAACATTAATATCAGGCAGCAAAGAGTTTCTGCTGAGGTGGGAGGGGAGGGAATTGATCCAGGCAGTGGAAATCCGGACTCCCGTTGTCCCTGGGAGATGTTTATCATTTGTCACTGGAATTTAATATAACAAGATGGTGAGATGGGCAAGTGCTCAAAAGCTTCAGGAATAATGGGTTTGAATTATGATAACAGCCCCCAAGGCAGATGACAAATAATTTATGATCCCCTAAGTATGGCAAAAAAAATGTTTGCTCCATCTACTGAGTCTCTGATCTGATTTTCCCTTTGAGAAATGTCTCTGGTGCTGTGGACAGAGCTGCTGTGGAGTAAAATTACCAGACTGGAAAGACTCAAGTAGTTCTCAGCTTAGACAGTATTTTTAAACCAAAAAGACAACAGCAATAAAGCAGGGAAAATCTGAGAGCACTTTGTCTTCACAGCACACACAGACACTGTTTATTTTCCTTTTTTTTTTGGTGAGGAATCCTCACAATTGGGAATTGATTTACAAAGCAATAAAGTAAATTGTTCAGCAATTCCTCCTGAGTGGTTAAACACGGGCATTGCATAAATTGGAACTTGTAGAGCAGAAGAGAGCACAGCAGGGCAGGAGCTGGGCAGGGGTGGGATGTATGGGATGGGAAGGGATGGGATCCATGGGATGGGATCCATGGGATGGGATCGGATGGATGGATGGATGGATGGATGGATGGATGGATGGATGGATGGGAATCCTGAGGAAGAGGAGGTGGCCAACACAATGCAGGATTGGGAATAATCCCAGACAATCTCTCCTGTTGGATTAACTTGGTTTCTCCTTGTCCCCAGTGGCACGGCCGGGCAGCGAGCTTCGACAGCCAGGGCTCCTGTCCCTCCCCCAAACCACCCCCCACACCGTGATCCGGAGCAGGGACAGCAAAATGGGACTAAACCAAGTAATTTTTGCACTTGGCCTTCAGTCTCAGTGGTTGCTGAGGGGCGGTGGCAGCAGCGGGACTTTCCGGTCTAGTTGTTCCTGCGTAAGTAAAGGTAGAAACCCGTTTTGTGGTCAAATATGTTTTTGTCTAATATGTCTCCCAAGGTGATGTTATTTTTGTGGCTTTTGCTGTACGGATCTGTTTCCAGAGGGAGAAGGTGGACTGAGACATGTGCTGGGAGTTTGGTCTGTAAAATAACGTGTAAAATAGTTTTTAGTGTGTGCAAAGGCTGGAAAGGGGCGAGGAGGTGTCTGTAGAGAGCAGAGGTGGCCAGGACAGGGGACAGGGGACAGTGGCCACTGGAAAGCTGTGGCAGAAGATGGAAGAGACTCTTCCAAGCCAGCAGCAGCTCCATCCTCGTGGTCAGCCCCAGCCCGGCAGAGTGTCCCCGGGTTTCCTGTTCATGTAGAGGTGTCCATGAGCTCTTAGAAGTTTGTGCAGTGTGTACCCTATAATTCCTTTTGTCATATATTAAAAAAATGATGTTGATTCCTCAGGAGGTGAACCCTGGGTTTTTTCCCCTGTATCTGAAATCTCCCCAGAGCTATTTGCATGAACAGTTTCTTCAGCCCCCTTTGTAGCTGCTGCTCATCCCCCAGGACATCCCCACGTTATCTGGAGTGGAGGGAGCGGCATGGCCACAGGTGGGATTCAGAAAAAAGGGGAAAATGTTACAGAAATGGGTGACAGCCCTGCATGAGCACGGGGTCTCTATTTCTTATCTCATCCAAGTAATGAAGGGTGACCCAAGGGGCAAAGGAAAATACAGAAACATGACTGATGCTAAAAAAAGCTTCCAAACTTTTTTTCTAAAGACTGTCAGCACTTTCTTAAAGAATAAAGTTTCTCAGCCCAAGCCCTGAAGGAAGGTCAAGTTCTGGAAAGAAAAAAAAAAAGAAGCTTTGCTGGTTCCTTGGCTGCAGAGGCCAAGAATGAAGTTAGAATATTCCAAGCACTGGCTTTACAGCTAAATCAGCTGATCTTTATCAACCAGCTGTGGATTTTGGACATTTTCTCATCCTGGATTTTTCTCTGAGTTAAGAAGTGTGTTAGTGCTGTTTGTTCCACCCTAATTAAATTAGGCAAAAGCAAATATTTTGGTTTGGAGGTAGACTTCGGGAGTGAGGCAGCCGGCTCTCCTCCCCTCAGGTTAGCAGGACTGTGCTCATCAGCCACAATCCTCAGGTCAACTCCAGTTTCCATTTTCCCAAATGTCACCACGTCACCCCTGGCTGCACATCAGGGCTGGCACAGAGGGGTGTCTGCATTGCTCCTGGGTGGGATGAATCTTTTGTTCAGTGAAGGGTAAATACATCATTCCTCATCACACCTTGTGTCTTAATTCTCTTTATGTGCCACATGCTATAGGAGCAGAAACTCAATAAAATGATTTGATTTGTAAGTGCTGCCCTGTCTGGTGGAATATTTCCTCCTGTGGGAGCAGGAATTGTGTGTTGTGTGGTTTTGGATGGGTGCAGTGATCACGGTGGGTGCCATAAAACGTGACAATGGCAGAGCCTGGCACGGTGTGGGGCTGGGCAGGGGCACACGGTGGCATTTGGGGCAGACCTCAGCTCTGCAGCTCCTGCCTGGGCTGGGACAGCCACACCACCCCAGGGACAGCCCCTGAGCACCAGCTGCAGCAGGAAAAAGTGTATTCCAAGCATACTGCCAAAAAAAAAGTGGTAAAACTGCATTGGTTTCCCAGCACAGAGCGTTCTGAGAGCTTCTGCTGAGGAACAAGGGGAGGACAGCCTTCCTGAGCCCATCATCCTTTCTGGGAATGTCCAGTGGTTAATTAAGGGGATGAGTTTCTGGCCACTAAAACTGATTGGCTGGGTGGGGCAAACACTGGCCACGAGCCCCTGGAACTCTGGCTGAGCTGGAGGAGCCTCAGGGGAGCAGGGCAATGGGCTGGCAGTGCCTCTGGCAGGTTGGCAAACCAAAGGACAAGACGTCCCCAGAAGAAGCCACAGCAGTCCCAGCTGGTGGCACTTGACAATCATTAATTGCAGCAACCCACTCAAATCCTTTTCTTCTCTAATCCAGGCTTTTTGGGTTTTGGCTTTCTCTGTATAATCTCCATCTTTTATCCATTCTCCTTGTTATGGAGGATTTAGTCAAAACATACGTGGGGTTTGACACAAAGCTGCTATTTTTAATCCTTGCTTCACACAGATAATCAATTTCCACTCAATACTGGCTGTCACTTGCATTACTGGAAAACTGGATCTCACGTTAGTGAATAACACCCACGCCTGCTTGGCCCAACCCCCCCTTCATTTATATTTTAAATGCTGAGATTTTGCCACATCCCTCAGCCAGGGGATAATCAGTGTGTGTGTCACTGGGGGGATTGGTCACACTCATGGGGACGAGCTCCACACAACAGAGCAAACACTTCCCTTCCATCCAGGGGGGAATTAGAACCCTGGAAAGGAGCTGAGCCCAGCACAAGTGCCATGCCAAGATTTGTTGAGTTGTTTTCTTGCTCCTCACTTGCTGCTCTTGACCCTGTAATAGCAACTCATAGAGACATTTCAATTATTTCCAAGCAAAATAAGGAGGGTCACCCCAGGGCCACGTCCCACAGGAGGCTTGGCCATGCTGGGGCTCCTTTGACAGTCCCTGCAAAGGGGAGGATGCTGCTGCAAGCAGCCACAAATGAATAGTCTGTTTTATTGAGTAGTGCAAGCAAAATAAACACATGGAGCATTCCCAGAGCTTCCTTTCATTTTTTCCCCCTCCTTTCTCTTCAGTTTTAGTCTCCCAGGCTCCATTTCCATCAAGGACTGGCTGGCTGCAGGGAGGGGAGGGGACACAGCAGGGAGGGTGGCCGGGGTTGGTTTAATGTGGGACTCAGGGGGAAGGGAAATCCCACGGGTCCAGCTCACTGCAAGGGCTCAGAGGGCTGGGAACTGTCCCAGCCTTGCTCCCTCCCACCAAATGGACAACAAAATAAGTTGTATCTGAGAAAAAAAGGTGGAATACATCCAGGGGGAAGCGAGTTCCAGACATGGAATTCCAGAAAGTTTTAGGTTGGAAGGGACATTAAAATCCATCTCATTCCATTCCCTGCCATGGCAGGGACACCTTCCACTATCCCAGGGTGACCCAAGCCTCATCCAACCTGGCCTTGGGCACTGCCAGGGATCCAGGGGCAGCCACAGCTGTGCCAGGGCCTCCCCACCCTCCAGGGAGGAATTCCTGCCCAATATCCTGCCAGGGTGATATTCTCCACTGCTGCCTTCCCACTGATCACATTATTGTGTCATGAGGGTTTTCTCATACATCAGCAACACATTTGTTTGGCAAAGTGAAGAATCTTGTCATAACAATTGATATTTAATCTCCAAATGTGGCCTTTCATTGCTAATTACAGAATGCTACTCACAGGCTGGCAAATCACACAAAAAGAAAAAGCCAGCAAGGAAGAAAACAACTGGGGCTTTATAAGGGCTTAAGAAATAAACAAACGTGGTATTTAATTATCTTAGGGGAAAAAATAGCAGCTGAGAAATAAATGTAACTTCAGTATTGATGTTGAAGGGGGGTATGTCACAGCTGCCACAGCAAGGCTGTCCCCATGCTGGGAATCCCTTCTTCTACAGGAACCTTTTGGGAACAAGTGTGGCAAAGCCCACCTGGGTGCCAGGAGCTGCAGACAGGGACTGACAGCTGTGGATTCTGGGGGTCTGGGATGACAAAGCCAGCTTGGTGGGATGCTGGGAGCAGCAGGGAGGGCAGTGCAGGACACTTGGGACATTCCTGGATCTCACCACTCCCAAGGGGGACACAGTGGGGACAGACACAGCTTTGTGGGCACAGGGCAACTCCAGCTGCCCTGCCCCTCCCTGGGCTCAGCTCTGTGGCAGGAGCAGCTTTGAGTGCTTTGATTTTTGTTTTATTTCTTCACGAACCTTTTATTTACACATAATTCTTGATTAGCCTGTAAAGAGCATTCAGTCAATGGGCTCAGTCCCAAACACATCCCAGTCCTCCTTCAGTCTTTAGTTCAAGCAATGTCAGGCCAGATAATTTTATCTTTGCTAGCAAGATAATAAATTAGACAGCAAATTATATATAGCTCATTGGAGAAAATTACAGCCCTGATCCTCGAGATCCTGATCTCAGTCCTCTGTTTGTTCTTCACTTTTACTACTTCTGTTATTTGCCCTCCTAATTGTGTCTCTAATTAGGCAACCCCAGACTTCTCAATCTCATTTTGCCAGAGGTTTTCTCCCCCAGGGGTCTCGTTGTTCTTCCTGCCATTAAGATTATCCATCAATACAGTTATGCACTTATTTAAATGCCAGGTCAGGATCTCATCTCTGCTGCAAGTTCCTCACTCGAGGATGTTCTCCCTGGGCCTGCAAACCCTGGCTGCCATTTCCAGGGAATCTCAGCTCCTGCATCAACAAGCCCAGGGGGCACAGGGGCTGGGATGCTCCTCCCTGCACTGGATGTCCCAGGAGAGCTGGGCTGTCTCTGCACGGTGCAGGAGACGCCAGCTGGATTAGGACAAGGTGGAATGGCTTTAAACTAGAGGAGAGGGGATTTAGTTTAGATATTAGGAAGGAATTCTTTCCTGGGGGGGTGGGCAGGCCCTGGCACAGGGTGCCCAGAGCAGCTGTGGCTGCCCCTGGATCCCTGGGAGTGCCCAAGGCCAGGCTGGACAGGGCTGGGAGCAGCCTGGGACAGTGAAGGTGGCAGGGTTGAAACTGGATGAGCTTTAAGGTCCCTTCCAACCCAAACCAGTCTGTGATTCTGTGACTCATTTGGCAATGAGAAGTGATGCAGTTTTCTCCTTTGTTGGGGTGAGCATCACTCCAAAATCCACTTTGACAAGAAGCCAGAGCTGCAGGTGAGCCTGGGAGAAGTAGAATTTGTCTCCTCTTTGCAGATGCACAGGCTTGGATATTC